TCGTCACCAACATTACCACTAGCATCATGTTCCAACAACCACCCACGTCACCACTATCACTACCATCACCAACAACCACTCACCGCACCCAACCAAATCTGCAATGCCCATGGAGAAACGCTGCTGACGCATACTACCAACACCATGTCATCACCATCGCGAACACCCGCTCGCGCGCGCGCACCCCCACACACCACGCACACACACAACCGCAACCACGCCTTCTCCGCCGTTGTTGCCATCTGCAACACAACTACGACACCCAACCACGACCGCAGCCTCACGCCATCGCCGTCACAATTTGCAGCGCAACCACGCACACCACGTCACTGTCGCCATCAGCCTCCGATTACAGCAACGAACTCTCATCTGCTAGTACTGCCACCATCAACCTCCAATTCCACCGACATCGGCGACGCTGCAACAAACTCTCAATTGCCTCCGATTCCAGCAGCGTCGACCGAAGCAATTTCTTCATCGTTGAATTTTGCCTTAGATTTTACTGTGAGAGATGAGAGAGAAGGACCGATTTTAGAGAGAGAAAATAATGGAGAGTTAGGGCTTGGGTGAAAGGAAAATTGATTTAAGATTTATATTTATTGATACCTGATTTATGAATAATGAAAGTTTGCACCTGAATTTTGAATTGTATTCTTTAAATCCCTGCGTTGAGGAAATTAGGTAATTTCTATAAATGTTTGGATTGTTTTAAATCAAAATCGATTCTGGTGACATATTTTATTAATAACGGACACATTTGGATGGAACTTATGAAACTTTCTTAGAGCATCTTCAATGAAGCCAATGGATTATAGCTTTATATGGAATACAAATAGAAAGGATTTTTTCGAAGTGCGAGATACCAAAATGGAGTCATTGCAAAAGAAAGCCATAATGATTGGGAACCAGAATAGGATTAACCCTTTAAGTTTGCCGATGAGTGCTTGCTATCGTCCCAATCCTTCGATTTTTGGATTGAAATAAGAAGTTCAATGTTAATATTGACACGTCGATGACAAATACTTATGATTCATTTATAGAAGGTAAATCATATGCGAAAGACTTTTAGTCCGTATTGATGTCTATTAAATAGATCGTCAAGTTCAAATTTCATATTGAATGAATTCATTTTGTAACTTCATTTTATTTAATATAAGAGGTCAAAAATTAACACTAAACATGAATGAGGAAAAAAAAATTAAGAAATGAAAGGAGAGAAATTTTAAATTATGTCCACTAGCTCCTTTTTTTTTTTCCTTTTTCATTTTTTCCATATATCACGCCTGCATGATGGAGTCCTATCAATTTACATTGGAGACCAATATTTTTAAACAACGTTTATTCTTTGTATATATTAAATAATTTTAAGCAATCAACGATTGCATTAAAGATGTTCTTATAAGCCACAAAGTGTGGGATCCATACTTTTGTGAGGCTTCTAAGATAGCATAAGCGAGGGAGCTACTAATGACATCTAGTTATAAGCCATACACAAGTGTGGATGCTATACGTTATGGATTTATAAGAAAGTTCCATAAAATCTATCTAAATGTGCTTAAAGTTTCTAAATTGATACTTAAAATGAAGATTCAGATTTCAGAGACTTTTGACCCTGAAAATATACTCATATTTACTTAGCATTTTGTCCATAATTTCTTTAATTTTTCGATTTGGTTCAAAACTTTACAATTTTCTTGCTATGAAGTCATCTTCCATTGGAATTCTACATAGATATTTAAATAGCTTTTCTTTGGGTTAATTTTACAACTATAGAACATTTGGGGGCCCAATTTCAGAAATCAGGTGAATAAAAATAATTTCAAAAATCGTGTATATTTCAAATTTGAATTATACTGTTTGTACATAAAAATTGTAAATAAGGGATTACATAAAATGATGTGAAGGAAAAATATTAGATGAAAAAGTTGACAGTGTTCTAAATTAGCAAATGATAGAGTGACATATGAAATTATGTAATCCATTATGTAAAACTTAATGTACATATGACAAAGTCTTTCATTTTTTTTTTTTTTTTTTAAAGTAACGGCTCGTACTCTAGATAGGTTTGAGGCTCTGGGTAGGCAGAAGGTTGTGCGACCAGCTTCGTCGAGACATCCTAAAGGAAGCACCTACTAATAATCCAAAAGGGAAAAATCCATGAAGAGAGAGTAGTCAAGGCAACGACGTACCTCAGTAATACAAGACGAGGAATGAGTTTTCCTTCCTTTCGGAGTCTAAGTAGGATTGTCAGCAAATTTTGAGGTCTCAACGACTGGTTCAGTAGGAGGTGCAGATCGGGCTATGGCCTCTACAAAGAATAAAAGTCATTAAACCAGAAGGGAGGTTGGTTCTACATTTTTATCCTGAAATAATGAATTGAATTTGTATAGGCGTTTTGGATGTTGCTATTGAAATAGCCCTTCTAGCTATATTTTTTTATTACTCCACTCATTTCGTATAGTATTCAACCTGGTTTAACAATAGCTATCCAATATTTAGGAGATCCCTTTAGTCAAAGTCAACTTTCTCCCTTCTTGCTTTAGTTTTCAATAAGGCTTGCGCAGGGGCACTCATCTAGCACCTTTCCGGCTCTGAAGTTCGCTTCTGGCGACTAGCTCAGCTAGCGCTTGGGCTTGGATGGAAGCAAGCGAAAGCTACCTAGAATCAATCCGAGATATTTCTCCTTTTTCTCTTAACTTAAATCTATTATTCTTAGAGATAGTACTTTTGGCCTGATGGCTATTCAAGAAAAGTACAATGTTTGAAGATTTCAACATTGTGAATAGCTCATGTCATGAATTGTTTTAGTTAACAAGCTAGTAATTGAATAAGCAAAGCTAAAGTAAAAGCAAATAACCTCTTCTCTTGGCTCACTAGGATACGTACAACCCCGGTGGAGACCTTTACTAAAACCTTGGAAAGCTGCCTCTTCTTCGTTTTGCTTTTCTGTGCAAGGCTCTTTCAGAGCGGAATGAATTCTGCTTTGCAGGTACTTAATACAAAGATCCTAAGCAATAGGGCATCTATCTCAATTGATCGAGTTGAAGGAAGGGCTTCATAGCCTTTACCTTATTCCGGGGAGGAGAAAAGGAAGTCAAGTGCTACTTATTACAAAAGGTGAATCCAAATAGTGAGCTATTTATTGCGAATGAGTATACGTATTTTTATATCGATTTTGATAAACCTGCCTTTAATAAGTTACAATAATTTTAAACTTACTCTCTTTGTAATTTCTTTAAAATGGCATTTTATTTTGGGTTATTGTCATTGCATTGTGATTTACACTATATGTCATTACTGTATCATGTGCGCAATTTCTTTATAATTGTAATTTACACTATATGTCATTACTGTATGTGTAATTTCTTCAAAATTTAACTTAAAATTATGACGCCGTCATGTCACCATTACCCCCATCTTTATCATCCATCACTTCCAGTAGTCACCCTATTAACAAAAGAAATTACATGAAGCGATGTTATAGTATATAATTTTTTGTATTGTAACCATCAATCATCCCCTCTAAAGCCTAAATCACCACAAACATCACTAAACCTTCACCATCCTGCTACCACTACCATCACTGTCGATGTCCACTGCAAACCACCAAAACACCGATTGCCACTATCACGAACTCTCAAATAAAAAATAATAAGGACAAAAGCATACGAGCAAATTTTAGCAAGAGTAGTGGGAATGACGGTGATGATTGTGGCAAAAATCAACTATGATACAAGGTGATAGTAGTAATGGTGGTGGTGGCAAGATTGGGATCAAGGTGTTAATTTTATGGTGGTGATGTGCGATATTTAGTGGTGGTGGAGGATGATGATAGTATTGGTGATGAGCCCACTCTCTCTCTCTCTCTCTCTCTCATATTACGAGATTTTAATTCTAGTTGGTTTTAGATTACAATAACAATACATGAAATTAAGCTTTTCTCCCAATAAATCTTAAATCGTCTCAGAAAAGGAAATTGATGACTCAGGAAAGAAACATTGTACTACACACACTCCTCTCCAATGTTACGAACTACACATGCTCCCCATTACTACGAACTAAACATGCCCAAACAGCACAAGGTCCCTTGTAGTTGTGAGCATGCAATACTGGGCTAACCATACCAACAACCAAGAAATTAGATTCAATGCGTGGTGTTTGAGAAAAAATAGTAGGCAGTATATGGAATCCTCATTATGGAAGCCCATCTCCAAAATTGACTTTTGCTTCAGTATAGTCTAGAAAACCCATGTCCAGGGAAAGAGAAGGAATCCCTTTCCAAATTCTTGATATTTGATATGGAAAATGGAAAGAAATACAGAAACAAGGTCGTCTGGGGATGGCAAAGAGATGCTGTTGACCAAAAAGCTATGTTCCAACGTCAAGATGATCCCTTCTTCGATTTTAAAGAGACTATTTGGTTCGGGCCTTATGATAAAGAAAATGAACACGAGAATCCCATGTTCTTCTGGCACTGTACAAGACATCTAACTCGTGGAAAAACAGATGTAGCTATCTTGACTAAGCAAAGCTCGACAAATGCATAGGGTCCCAAAAGCATATGACAAATATGAATCTCCCATAGTAGTTCGATTATGCAACAAGTAACGGGTGAAGAAACAAGATTTTAAGCCAGGATAAGTATGAAGAGGGAGATGTGCCATAACTATCAAATCTTCAAAAGCACCAAAATGCCGATAAATACATCTAAATCGAATATATCAATTTGTATCCACTCACCAATTGTGTTTCCAGATGTAAAGAATAATAAAATTCGCATTGTATATTTGAACAGCTTCAAGACTTCTGCATAATTTATAAACCCCTTTCCAGGATATCAAAGTCACCATAATTGAACAAAAAGTTGATATGGAAAAAGGCTAAAATCATTTGCTAATTTGTGAGTAAGACCGAATTATATTCAATGCAAAAGAGATCTATGGAGAAATTTCCAGCCTTGGTTCAAAGCAAAAACCAGTAAAAAGCTGCAGTGGAAACCTTTTCGTCACAGGGCATTTCTGCGACCACTTCCATTGCTTCTGGCTAACATCATAAACGAGAAGGGCAGGTGCTCCATAACTCTGGATGTATATGAGATCATCCGTACCGCTGCTGGCAAAGACATCATCAAACTCCCCAAACCCCTGGAAAAGTTTATGTGGCATTCGTGCTATTTCTTGCCATTCCTTTCCATTAAGACTCCAAATACCGATCCCCTTAATAATGTCGGGTCGATCCTGTTTCCCAATTCCTCCAACCATTGTAAGCTTTTCTTTGAGGTTCATCAGACGGCCACAAGTAAGGGAACACGGCACTGGGACAAAACTCCTCATCAATATACCATGGGGTGATCTGCTTGTGAGGTTATACATGATAAGGCCATGGCGATTCTTAGAACCGCCACCCCCAGTCGAGTAAATGAGAAAGTACAAAACCCCATTGCAAATCACACTCTCGTCACCACCTCTCCATCCCATTAAATCCTCTGCCAAAGTGGTCACCCATGTCATTGTTTCCGAATCATAGAGATGGATGGAGAGATCCCACTGAAAGAAGTTTCCTGGAACTTGCTTAGATTTAACGACTGAGATGGTGTAATTGTGCGATACCCTATCAACTGAAATTGCCAACGCACTGAAATCAGAGATTTTTGGACCCGGAGGACCATCAAGAGCCTTGCAGCATTTTGTTATTATGTTGCAAACATATAGTTCACTCCTGCTATAGTTATCCATGAAGCAAACTAATCCACATGATGAAGCAATGAACCAATTGGATGTCTCAATGCAAGGGAGGTCAATGCTGTACCACTTTCGGAGGATGGGATCGTATGCATAACCGACTGGTTCGTCTGAGCTTGTGAACATAAAGTACCAAGGCTTTTGTGACAGGATGCGGTTGAAATTCCACAAGAACCTTTCTGAAGTCACTATCTCGTGCCATCTTTTACACACAGAGCCTGCCCTGAGAATGCTAGCGATTGGGAGATAGGCTATTATCCGCTCCAACAGATCATTAGGTAAAACCAAATCCAGGGAAATTGAAACAACTTCTTTCTTGCTTTCATCGTTAAGATCTGAAAATGAATCCAACTCTGCTGTGTCACTTGCAACATTCTCAAAGCAATGACTCACCCATAAAGTGTCCCCTTCCATGCGTAAATCCTGCCACAAAACATAAAACATTATTACAGCATAACAACTAAAAGTACTTTTCTATCCTTGAACGAGAAACTCGTAAAATGAATATCTTTTCTATTAAATTATGAGACTATCAAAAGAAAATGGTCCCTAAATAAAAGATGCTGCTGGCAGGATACTTTTAACGAAACTTAGAAGAATCAACGACAGATCTTTAATACAGATACACATTTCAGTTAATGAGATCATATACACACTGTCAAGTGGTTTAAGCCACATATTTACAAAAAATAACCAAGAATTTAAATTCTACACACCATTAAAATTCTTCTGAGTGAAAGGTCAAATTAGCATTCATTTTACAATAACAATAGAGCAAACAAATTATTCCATACAGACAAAAACATAAAAAAAAATCCAAGAGATTTTATTTTTAACACAAGTAATTGATCTAAAGAACAATGAAAAGTACCTCCCACCAAAAAATATGCTATTCGCAAAAGAAAGAAATTTTGATAAAAATGGGAGACTGAATAAATATTTATACCTCAAGTCAAAGAATGAAAATAGACTTCCATGCTATAAAATTATCAAATAAGATGGGAACCGCTAAGCAGATTTGGAGATCAACTGTTTCATTTTTATGAACATTTAAAACATCTAAAAGAATAATCAATCACATGTTTTAGCAGTATATGTATATATAGACACACACACACCCACACCCTCACCCCCGCCACAACGAGATTGTATTAATTAATAAAATAAGCCATTTTTTTTCTTGACGGAGACCAACCACTTCCACAGTACCAAACACCAAACACTGTCAATTTCTTTTTTTTTTTTCCAGATTTTTTCATATTATTATTAGATAATAAAGAAGACCTAACAATCAAACATACAAAAATTGTAAGTTCTAACATAAACAGATCTCAAAACACAGCACAATTCAACCTCCCCAGAAAAAGGAAAAAAAAAAAAAAAAAAAACGGAGTTTCTCGAAATGGAACAAATTTGTACCTTTGATACCAAAATCGCTCTAAAATCCAAGCACCAATTTGTCTAGATTATTTGAAGTCCTCAAGATTACACAGAGAAATGATGAAATATGCAACACACACTAAATCATAATGCACTCCACCAATGCTATGTAGAGCGAGAAACAGGAAAAGAGAGAATTTTTTTTTTCCCTCCTATTTTGCAAAGTAATAGTAATATAGCCAAAACAAAAAGGAAAGACAGAGAGGAATGGAATAGAAGGGGCGGTTTTATAATAGAACTTTTTGGTTTTATTGATGCATACAAAAGTAACTGTGTTTTTCAGTTTTCACAGAATTTGACCTTTGAGGTGTTTTAAATTTTAGGGCCTGTTTGGGCCCCATTTTTTCACCCAAAAAATTAATTTTTTTATCGTTATTTTCTTATTTCAGTCGTCATATTTGATTTCTTTTCTTACGGGTGGACCCCATTTTTTTTCTAACGGTGAAAAAATCAATTCTCAAAATCACTTCCAAACAGACTCTTAATGTCTTCTGGGGTTGGTTGGGGATGGTGGGGGGCGCGGGAGGGAGTAGTGGAGAGAGCGAGAGAGACATACATATGGGAGAAGTAATGCTGTCCTACTCATCACCCTTGACACCTTTCATATTATGGTTCGTTTGATCGTAAATATGAAATTTGGGCGAAAAAAACGAATTTTAGAGAATTGAATAGTTTAAAAATTATTTTTTTGGGAATTGTAAATTACTGTTTTTGATTGATATAATCTTTCACGTGAAAAATGTTGAAATAAAAGTATTTTTTAATGTTTGTTTGTCTTTATTTTACATGAAATTTGTTAATTAAAGAGATAAATTTTACTGATATTGAGAATGAAATTTGTTTCCATTGCAAAAAAAAAATCAAGAAAATCATCTATCTTTTGGTATTCGTTTCGCTTTATTTTACATGAAAATTGTCAAAAAAAAAAAAAAAAAAAGTCTACAGTACCTTGGAAAACCTATATGTGGGAATTGATTTTCGATGAAAACCAAGAAAATTTCAATTTCCAAGTAAACCAAGAAATGCAATTCCATGAAAAAGAAAAGCTATCAAACACCCTTAAAATGGAAGTTGGAATTGATTTTTCATTTTCTAGGGAAATTTTCCATGTATCAAACATACCCTTAAGGTGTGTTTGATTGGAGGTGGAATTCCACCTTCCAATTTAACCATGTTTGACACCTTTTTTTTTTCTTTTTTTTTAAGAATTGAATTTCTATCTTTGGTGCAACATAAGCCAATTTCTATGAATTCAAGGAATTGTAATTCTCCTGGTTATTGTAGCATTTTTTTGGCAATGGGAACAAATTTTAAGAATTATTGTAAAAAAATATTTCCCTTTAATTGGCAATTTTCATGTAAAATAAGGCCAAACAAACACCAAAATATAGATGATTCTCTTGAAATTTATGTTTGTGTGTGTTGGCAATGAAAACAAATTTCATCCCCAATATCAGTAAAATCTATCCCTTTAATTGAAAAATTTCCTGTAAAATAAAGCCAAACGGAGATCAAAAAACACTTTTATTTCAACATTTTTCGCATGAAAAATTATCCCAATCAAAAACAATAATTTACAATTCTCAGAAAAATAATTTCTAGACAATTTAATTCCCTGGAATTCGTTTTCAATTCAATTCAATTCCATCTTTACAATCAAACGGACCCTTAGTTAACCTTTTTTTTCACTTTCACCTCTTTTTAAAGAAAAATGTTGCCATTTTTCTTAAAAGTTTTACTACAGCAATAGGACTGAGAAGTCGATTCATGACAAGTGTTAGAAATATAAAGGAAATAACATCAATTTTATTCTCTCAATAAAAAAGTAGTAGCCCATATCGAAGATTTTGCCATAGAATTAAAGCAACAAACAGTGCAACTTCCATTTCTATTTCAAGATTTTCTTGAAGCATTTCTTGAATTAGAAGAATGTGTCTGCACCTGCTCCTCCTCCTCCTCTTTTTTCTCGTGTTTGCCTATTAGCTCTACAAATATACAATTTTAATTATTTTTTTTATGTGGAGACACTCCAAGACTTTGGGCTCCATTTCTAGTTTGTTAAAAGGCATTTCCTCCAATAGGCATGCTTTACCTAACACTTCACCTAACCCATCTACTTCATTCACAATATGTGGGTTGGGGGTGCCAGGTAATTTCCAACTTATCTCATTCAAATATAATTTAGGGTAATTAGCACAAAACATCCATACCTTTCGATATTTTTGTGGAAAACATCCCTACCTTTTATTTTTTGGCGGATTACACCCTTACCTTTACCTTTTTTTGCGCAAAACGTCTTTCTGTCAACTCTCCGTTAAAATACTCCGTTAAATCAAAAAGGTAATTAGCACAAAAGGTCCCTACCTTTCAAAGTTATTGTGCAAAACGTCCCTACCTTTTATTTTTTAGCATAATTAGCAGAAAAAGTCCCTACCTTTCAATATTATTGTGCAAAACGTCCATACCTTTCATTTTTAGCATTTTTACACCTACATTTCACCTTTCATTGCGCAAAAGGTCCTTTTCATCCATTTTTTCAATAAAATGACGATTTTACCCTCCTATTGAAATAAAACAAAAAGAAAAGAAAAAAATAATTAATTAATTGCAATCACAGTTCTAAATCTTTCAAAACATTACAGATAAATCCTAAATTCTCCATTACCGCCACTTTCACAACCCCACAAAGCCACCACCTATAGATCCATATAGCACCACTTTTCGACCATAACACCTATCGGACTCCACCACCACCAGTGTCGTCTTACTCTCCCCAATATCCTCCTACATAGTATTGATCACCAATCTGTCCGAAACAACCATATTTACGGTGGTGGAGTCCGGTGGGCATGGTAGCCGAAAGGTGGTATTATGTGGATTTATAGTTGGCAGCTTGATAGGTTGTGAAAATGGTGGTGGTTGAGAATTTATGATTTATCTGTAATGTTTTGAAAGATTTAGAACTATGATTGCAATTAATTAATTATTTTTTTCTTTTCTTTTTGTTTTATTTCAATAGGAGGGTAAAATAGTCATTTTATTGAAAAAATAAATGAAAATGACCTTTTGCGCAATGAAAGGTGAAATGTAGGGGTAAAAATGCTAAAAATGAAAGGTAGGGACGTTTTACACAATAATATTGAAAGGTAGGGACCTTTTCTGCTAATTATGCTAAAAAATAAAAGGTAGGGATGTTTTGCACAATAACTTTGAAAGGTAGGGACCTTTTGTGCTAATTACCTTTTTGATTTAACGGAGTATTTTAACGGAGAGTTGACAGAAGGACGTTTTGCGCATAAAAAGGTAAAGGTAATGGTGTAATCCGCCAAAAAATGAAAGGTATGGACGTTTTCCACAAAAAAATCTAAAGGTAGGGATGTTTTGTGCTAATTACCCTATAATTTAATGTACAAAATGTGCCGTTAAATTGTGAAAATGTTGAACTAATAGATTTGAATCAAACAAATTAATCAACAAATATATATAATTCTTGAATGAGATCTTGATTTCACTTGAAATAACTATTATTGATCACTGATAAATATGCATATTTGTGTAGTTGATTTCATCATATTTGGCCAATCATGAAATAACCAAATAAGTTTTTGAAAACCTAAGTTTGAACATATCATTTTAGCTAGCAACCGCTGGTTGCGACTCATAATAATCATTGTTCGTCACCAATGTCTACTTGTCATGGCCAGTTGTAATTGTCTATGACAATTGATGGGGACTAGGGATCAATGGTCAACAGTGATTATCTCTACCCATCGTGATTATAAATGTTAGTCATCTTTTATTTTTTGGGTTTGATAGTCGGTGTTGATGGCCAATTACCGTAAGGGTAATGGAATTACCAATAGTCGATGGTCGACGAATGCAATATTATGATTTGCTATTTCACAATATGAAACAATATAAAACATACCTTTGACGTATAAGCAATATGATACTCATTACACAATGCACATTTTATATTAATATAGTGTTCAATAACACAAAGCGACAGTTCAGTACTAAACGAGCTCTCAGTTCTTTCGCTTGTTCGACTTGTTGGCATTATGAAAGATCAAAAAAGGTTGAGTAAAACTCAAATAATCCCATTATTTCTTCAATTCCAAGGCAAACAAAATTGTACTTTCTGCAACTCTAGCTAGCCCCCTACTTATATTTATTACTGCAACAATAAATACCCCAACTGCACTATAAATTTCTTGCTCCCGAAACCAACAGATTTAGTTCAATAGTAGGTGAAATTTTCGACCATGTTACTCTATTCTCAGGCTTGGAACAGAAATCCACTATTCTTACTGTAAACAAGTAGATTTATATGTCTGGTGGTTCAATGTCTCTTTTAATTCCTCAAAATTGCGTCGACAATATATGATTATGCCCTTATTTATTTCTCATTTTTTCCCCCATTAAAATGAAAAATATAACCGTTATCTATCACATCAAGTCATCAAATTTAAATTTTTATATCTTGTGTGGGGCTCATAACGACTATATTTTTCATTATTATTTTTACAGATGTGTGAAACAAACGCCCCCATTGTATGTATACATACAATTATACAAGTTTTTGTTTGATGATAATTGATAGAGCTGCCATATTTATATGTATGTGTAAGCTTCATTTTCTTGGTTGGTCCCCGGGTGGGTTGATAGGCTTTCCTTATCAAGAACATATATAGCATATGGCTCCGTACTATCTAAAGCCATACATTGTTAAAAGAAACAATGCTATTACACTTGCATTGTTAAATTGTCTAGTTTAACTATTGTCACTGTACTGTACAGAAACAGTACTTGGATTGCATTGAAGCAAACTTTTATAAATTTTGCATATACTTGTGTGTGTGTCCCTTTATATATATATATATATATATATATATATATAAACTGGCAGTTTAAATACTTTTGATGATATAGCATAGCTTCAATTAATTAAGCAATGACATTCAATTTAAGTGCATGGACTAAAAAGGGAAATGATAATATCTACTTTTGACGGCCGGACTGTTTCCTTGTCGGAATCTGCTTATTTGATGTCGATGTAAATTTATTTATGTGCCGTCTTGACGATTAGGTTAGTTTGTGTTTGAGAGAGTGTGAAAAGTTCGCGTCGAAGTATTGCTCTTTTAAGAGTGTCCATCTAGTGTTAATATGTGACTGCACGATTTTTTTAGACATATTCTTAGAGAAATCGTTCGTATCACTTTGATTTAAACAGAAGTTTTGACTTGAGATCTCACTTAGTAGTTCAACGTGGTTTCTA